GAGATCTCATTTCAGTACTCCTAACTTTAAAACTTGGATCATCTCTCATGGTCCACAGACCAGTCACTCTCCCAGGAGGCACCTTCTCTCCTCTGGACTCACCTGACACCAATCCTGGACACACACCAAGCTCTGAGCCCATGAGCCTCCTTCCCAGGCACTTTCACCTCTCCTCTGTGTCTTGTCTCTGTTTTTCCCTACTACATGTTCTGGGCCACTGTCCTCACCTCTAAAAAGCCTTCCAGAACCCTCCTTCCCCACTGGTCAAGTGCTTCAGCCCCCCCTCTGCACCCCCCAGCAGTGTGCTCACCCCTCCTGGGCAGCCCCGTCTTACACTATAATTTCCTGTCTCCCCCAGAGGCCGATACAGCGTGGGGCTGGGCACACAGAAAGTGCTCAGGAAACATCCAAGGAGCGACAGGCACATGTGTCTCTGCAGTTCTGGGCTGGAGCCTGCAGCTGCCCCATGTCCCTCCCTCCCTGGCTCCAGGACTCTGCTTTCCTGCCCCCCCACACAACCAATACCACCGCATGTGCCATGCTATCTAGGCCAGGCTGCCCAAAGCCACGTGTCCCAGCCACTTCCCTGTCCCGATACAGATTCCCCAGGAAGATGAGCAAGTCCATGGCCCGTTTTTATGGAAGGAGGCATGAGGAGGCCTTTGACGTCATAACTCTGTCCAAATTGGAGATGCAACAGCAAGCCTGAGATTCCTGTTTCTCCTCCCTCCCCTAGGGCCAAGGCTTCGGCCAGCAGCAGGGCAAAGGCAGCTGGCCAAGGGTCGGACTAGCTCTTTTGGGGCTAAAACGGCAGTTGGTCTTGAGAGAAAGTGGGAGGCTGTTGGGAATGTGGAGAGGCTTACAAGCCACACCACCTCAGCCACATTTCTCCTCCGAACCCCAAAAAGCAAACCGGGGAGGACGCCTCCATCCAACCTCTCCTTATGGCCAGCTCAGCCTGGGGTCCGAAGCCAACACCAGCGTCTTCCACGGGAACCTGTCTGGCTTCAGGACACTGCTGTGTTGTTCTGATATCCTAAGGGCAACTGGCCCAGAGTTTCAGGAAAAAGCAGGTTGACAATGAGTCCTCAAACACCTAAGACATTTCGTCAGATAGATTTCTTGGAGGTTTAAAGGGCCTGGGAAGCATAAATCCTGGGTACAGAAGTGGCTGCTCAGCCCCTCCCCACTCCCACCGAATTCCCCTAGAGAAAGAGAAGCCTAGAGGGGTCCTTCCCAAGCAAGGGGCGGCCATGTGCTGGGAGGGGCCCCAGGGCCTGGCTGGGGGATGAGGGCATTAGCACCGAAGCTGGGAGCAAGGGGTTCTCTGCTGGGGATGGAAAGACGCCCGCTGTGCCTCCAGCTGCCCCAAGCTGGGTGCGGCTGGGGACTTCCTATCGGCACTAGCCTGCCCTTCTGGAGCCCATGGCCCGTTTTGTGTTGCCTCTCACACATCTCTAACTGCTGTCCAGGACTTACAGACCTTCCCAGCAGTCTGGAAAGGAGATGCCAGTCCCTACGTCCTAGGGTCATGGTGATGACCCACGGAAACGTGACCCGAAAGCACTCAGCACAGTACTGGCTTGTAAGTTTCACTCAGTACCCATGAGCTTTAGGGCTACGGACCACGGTGACTATGAGGAGCTGCTCCCAGGGGGCCCAGGCTGGGTCAGCCTTGCTGGATGAAGTGGGGAACCAAAAACAGACCCACACCCAGAGGTCGGCATCCAGCACTGTCTCCCTCTGGCCTGACCTTGGCCTGGCTCCACTCCCAGGGAGTGAGGCTGGGTGGGAAGGGCGTTGGGCTAGCTGTGGTTGGCAGCAGAGGACCCAGAGGCCATCGGCTCCCACAGCCGGGCTGCCCAGGCAGAGGTGGAGAGGAGACCCAAGCACGTGTCCCCATGGGACCCTCTAAGAGCCAGCTTCCTGCTCTCAAACAAAGTGTCCCTGCTGGTGCTGCTATGTTCTGCCGACCCCCCCCCCGCAGACACACGCACTTCTGACCGGGGAGCCCCTGGGAATGGAATGAGGCTGCTTTGCAAATACCTCTGGAGGGGAGGGTGGCAGCTCTTCCATCAGAGTCTCTGAAGACGGGTTTTTAGAATTTAAGAATTTCACGGAGTGAGCGCTTTGCTGCTCTGAGAGCAAAATGACTCAGCCCTTAAATGAGGCTGAAGATTGAACTGTCTGGAGATTTGGGGAAAGCTACAGGAAAAACAGAGATATTTAGAAAGGCCCAGCTTTCCACAGAGTTCGTCCACGTGTCCCAGATCCCCTTCTCAGGGGAGAGCTGGGAGGCCACTGGCTGCAGTCGCCGGGGCACGGAGGTTCGACAATGCAGAATCCCAGGCTGCCTTGGACCAATTTCTGAGGAGGGGGACAGGAATCTGCATCTTAAACACGCTCCCTTGGTGTTTCCTGTGGATAATTAAGTTCACACGCCAAAAGCTGTTCCAGGTGCTTTAGACCTTCCAGAAAGGGGGCGGGAGCCACAAATATATCAGGAATATATATACCAGGACCTCACTCTCCCCTGGGGTGCTCATGGTCCAAAGGAAAGAAGCCGATGCAAGGAATTTCTGGCACCTGATAAAATATCCTCGTTAAGACCATGGGCCATCTGAGTTATCCTGCATTTGGGTTACATTCTAGAAATGCACGGCCATAGGCCATACCCCAGGCATCGTCTCCCTGCCTGCACTGGGCATGGCCTGTCCTGTCTGTCTTCTCTCAGAGAGAAGAGCACCATGAGAAAGAAAACTAATTTCAGAGACACGAGAGAGGTTTATTGCTCAGGGTGACAGGAGACTGAGCTGAACCCCAGAAGGCATGGGCCATTGGTAGCGGGGGGCGCGAGTCAACTTCCCTCATGCCCCAGCCGCTTCCTAAGTAAAAACAGGCTGGCCCTTAGCAGCATCGCTCCCAGAGGTCAGCTGACCATGAGACACACAAACCCCAGATGCCAGGACCCTCACCTGAGCTGGTGGTCCGTCAGGCGGGGTCCTAGGGCTCTGGTGTCCTCTCTTTCTAGAGGAAGTGCAAGAAAAAGCTAGAGTAATTGCAGGGTGACTGAAAAAGCCTCCCAGGGCAGGAATTAAATCTACATTTCTGCTTGTGTAGGGCCAGAGACAGAGCCCTGGTGAGGGGGAGGGGCAGGAATCAGACCCCCGCCCCTCAGCCAGGCCAGGCTTCAGTTCCAAGCTTCCTGAAGCTCTTTTCCACCTGATCCAGCGTCCAACAGAGTCTGGGCCTTACACATCGAGCCTGACGCTAGACTGAAGTCAAGTAAGGATTCCCAGACCCGCTGATCTCGCTGTTTCTGAGTGTTTTACCTGAGAAACCCATGTTGCATTTGATAAATTAAATTAGCAAATGAGGTAGATAATTCACCTGGGAATAACGAAGCCAGGGGAGAATTTTATAGACTGGGTATCGATGAACACCAACACTCATCTAAAGGTAATTACAGGTGAGCTGGTTGGTGCTGACCGCTAATGTTTTCTCCTTGCTTCTCCTTGCCTTTTAATGCCTGTCTGAACAATAGTGAAAACACCCCCTTGGCTGACTTCTTTGGTCTTTTGTCTACATGATGCCAACACAACTGGTTTTACGGTGTGTGTTTTTACTTTAGCAGTCCTAGGAGCTTGGCAAAAATTATGATATGTATCTTTCTAAGATTCGTGGTATTGTGGGTGAGAGATGTTTTGTTTTTTTGTTTGTTTGTTTTTTAGCTCAGGAAGAGGTAAAAGAGATCCATTTGCCTCTGAGTAGAACAGGTCGCATACATAGAACAAGAAGAAAGAGAATTTGACATAGTCATTCCCCAACTCAGATGAAAACAAGGTTGTTGCTTGAACTTGACTGTCTACTAGCCCCATCTACTAGGTCACTACTCCTCTGTCGCCCAATTTGGAGAATATTTGCATGGAAAGGGAGATTGTAGGATTCAATTGTGCCTACCTTCTTGGCTCCATTCTTGTTTGCAAACTCATTGGTACTTTTGGGGTTGGGACCGTGGGGTGGGCGTGAATAGCTGCTTGTCACTAGGAAAGTTCCACCAAAATGAATGTCTGATGTGATTCAAACTTGATTCAAACGAACGTGCTGTGAATCAGAGCACAAAGTCATGTCTGGGCAGTGGTGTGCTGGGGGATGCTGGACCACCGGCTCTCAGGGCGAAAGTCCTGGTTTTAGATTTTGCTGATTTTCTTGGCATAAGTATTCCCATCATGGCTGATTTCAAGCTACCAACGTGATGTCCCTCAACACGGAACTAGGGAGGGATGTGCCCCATGGGCTCCTCCAGGCAGGTGTGAGCACACCTCTAACTATAACTGACAGGCCAAGGCCTGGGAGGCTATGTCTGTCCCATGAAAACCTGGAAAGTAGGCAAGACTAGGCTGGGCTCAGCTATCTCTTTTCTAAATAGGGAGCTAAGGTAAGTTCCACAACATCTTTTCAAGGAAATGTGCACAACACTTCTCTGTCTTTCCATACTGGGGTCCTCGGCAGAAAAAAATGTTAGACTCTTGCCACTTGGTCTGTGCTGGACAGTGTCCCCCCACTGTACTTCCAAAGCTAGGGCACAGAGAGCTGGAAAGAGGGACTAGCCATCAGTGTCTGTGGCTCCCCGTCTTTTCTACCCCGGAGGCATCAGAACAGAGGACAGAGAAATAACCCTCTTGGCCTTCACACATCATCCAAAATGATAAACAAAGACAGATGGGCAGAGAGCACGGCCCACTCACCTTGGCTTTCCGTAAATCAAGATGGAGCTGCTAATGGTTTGGCAAAGGTATTGAAGCTATCATTTTCCATAAAAATGTCATCCTCCCTTCACTAGCACAGGGCGCATTCTTGATCACCTGGAACAGCCTCGACTTTCTGCTGACAGACTCACAGAAACCAGATGTGTAGCCACTGGGATCACGGAGCCCAGGGCCTTAGAACCAATATCAAACCCATCAAACCCCTGCTTGGGTCAGTTCTTATAGGTGTCTCTCACAGGACGGGGTAGACGAGATGCATGAGAGGAGGTAAAGGGCCTCCTGCAAATTCAGGTCACAACCAGGGGTGGGGGCACCAGGCAGCCTCCTTCCTCCTGCCTCTCCTTGGCTCCAGCAGTTAGGACGGGTGAATCAGAAGGAGGTGACTGCCTATTTAAACCATTTTCAGGCTAAGATTGTCTACACACGCAAATGTTGGCTCTTGTGGGCGCGTGGGGGACCAGAGTTCAACCCAACAGAACCATTTCTAAGACCACTGCTCGGCCACAATGGGGCAGCTGCGAGTTGTTCAACATTTTCCCCTGGGACTCAGGGTCCCGAGTCCCAGCTGAGCACAATTTGGTGACTACCAGCTGGATGATATTTGGGTTAAAGCCGCCACCACAACCACATGGAGAAGAGCAGCCATGCTGGAGGTAAGGCTGAAAGGCCGCTGCCAACCTCACGTTCAGCATGACTCACGTCCCATGGAGACCACCACCACTCTTCAGCGTGGAGCCCAACGCCCAGTGGTTAGGGAGCAGGTGGACACCATGCTTCCCCACCTGCCACCAGCGCCGCGTGTCCTTGATCGTGACCAGACTTGTCGTCACTCCTGGGGAGTCTCTGGTTGAGTCCAGGAGCTCAAAGGAGCTCCTCTGAAAGGAAAGCCCAGAGCGAGTAACCATGGTCATCCTTTGGTGCAAAACAGGGACGGTCCAACCTCTGCCCTTGAGGAACCAGGGAGCAGGCATCGCTGGGCCGGCCAGGGGGGTGGCAGCTGGGGGAGTCCACCCAGGACCCCGAGCCCTCCCTCCCTGCTTCTCACCAACTGTCTCATTCCTCCATCTCCAGCAAGAGCGGCGTCCTTCACTCGGAGACCGGCAGAATGTTCTGGCTGTGGGAGTCGCCCGTGAGGCCCGAGGAGTGGAGGGAGCGTCTGTGGAGGATCCTGTTCAGGATCTCTTTGCAGCTTTTGCGGTACTGGTGTCGCAGTAAGGAGTACACGAAGGGGTCCGACGCGGCCTTGCTGTAGGCCAAGCACTTGGACAGCACCCCCCAGTGGGAGCCGATGGGCACCGAGGAGGACAGCTCCACCAGCCTGCGGAGACAGGGGAGCCCGTTACCGAGAGCACAGCCTCTTGGCCAAGCCTCAGGCTCTCTGCTGTAGTTGCCTCCTCCACGGCAACTTACAGCAGCAACAGGAAGGGGAGGTGCGCCTCCACGGGCCCTGAGTTCATTCTAGCTCCGGAGTAACAGCGCAGTGTACACGTGTGACTCCGTGGGACCCAGAGAGATGTGACTAGCTCCATATAAGGCAATAGATGGACAAAGAGGTTAAGGAATTTGCCTAAGGTCACGCAGCCTGTAAACTGTAAAGGCAGGATTTGAACCCCAGTCTGCCTGACTCTGGAACCCAGGCATACCTAAGTAATAGACTAGTGGCTAATAGTGACATGGCCCCTGGCTCCAACTTTCCTCCTGTCCTGCTAGGGGACCCTGGGCAAGTCATTTCCCCTCCTTGGGCCTGTTGGTTTGCTATGGAAAAGGAGGCAGCCGAATAAGGTCACCTCTCCAACTAGAAGACACTGGTGCTTTGCTTCAAATCCAGCTCTGCCCTCCTAAGAAGATTGCTGGGATGGAGGGCTGAGAATAAATTTGCAACCGTTCTGCAAAGCTCAGCATACGTCCTACATCAGGAAGAATCCACAGGTGACAAAGGCCTCTTCCCAGGGTTTCGATTCTGGTGGTCCTGGGCCACGGCCATAGTCAGGGTCCCCTCAAGTGACCTCATGATACAGGGGAGATACAGCCCATGTCTCAAAGGGGCCTTTTTCTGGAAGTCTCCTGGTGCCCATCAAACAACTCCACTCAGGTGTCCTAGTACCAGGTTGTGAGGAAGTGAAAGCCTTCCTCTGTGTAAATGGAATCCCCCCAACCCCACCCCAGATCAAGCCGCTTACTCTCAAGTGTCTCCAGCACCAGTGGCCCTATTTGGACCTTATCCAGCATGGATATAAGGTAGAAAAGGCCATGGCTTGGAGATCCTAAGTTACCCTCTCCCTGCCCACCGCCAAATGAGGAAACTGAGGCCCAGAGAGGAGAAGGGGTCACCCAGGGTCACCCAGCAGGAAGTGAGAGAGGAAGGTCCGGCACCTGCACGCTCCCCTGGTTCTGGCCCCTGTCCTCCCCCCGGAGCAGAGGTGTGTGCGCGACGGCAGGCAGCCATGGTTCTCAGGGTGGGGGGCTGCCCAGGGGAGTCCCCAGAAGAGACTGAGCTTGGGCCATTACTCCGTGCGGCCAACCCGAGTGCTTTCCCTGGCTTTCTTTGGGCCAGTGTGGTAAGGACAAGCTCATGAAGGGAAGCAAGGGAAAGGTGGTAGAGTTCAAGCCTCCATTGTCATAACTACCACCACCTTTTTAAAAAAGATTTTATTTGTTTGCCACAGAGAGAAAGACAGAGAGTGCACACACAAACAGGGGGCGCAGCAGGCAGAGGGAGTAGCAGACTCCCCACTGAGCAGGGAGCCTGAAGCAGGACTCGATTCCAGGACCCCGGGATCATGACCTGGGCTGAAGGTAGATGCAAACTGATTGAGCCACCCAGGGGTCCCACAATGCCCCTTTTTTGAACAGACCCTTAATGAACTCCCCTATTTGGCTTCCTATTTCCAGAAACACCGGCTACCCTTGCCCTCTGACCTCGTGGGAAAATGTGGCCTCATTTCTGCTCATGTCCTCATTAGCCCGAATGGGGGAATGGAGCTGTTAGCATCTGGGAAAGCTGCACTTTTAAGAAACCTATTTTGGGAAGTGATGACTTTAAGGGGACAAAAACCCTGAATTTAGAATTCACACCTAATAATAACAATGAAATAGCTGAATGCCAGCACATTGTTGCTATGTGATGCCAAATGGCTTTACCAAAATGTCTGCTCTCCTCTGTGTCGCTAAATTCAGTCTTAGCATTCTTGGCTTTCCCAAGAGGACTTATTAACGAGCCAAATATCATTAAACCATCCGGCAAGACCAACATTACTATTTTCAGGTTCTGTAGATGTCGCAGAATACAATGATTCGGGACAATGTAAAATTTTACCACTAGATAATTAATAGATAAAATCTATTTTGTTTGCTTCCCAGAGATTTAATGTAAAGTCTCAATTCTCCGCCAGGTTCAGTAATCATTCCCAGTTAGTTGCATGTCTCCTCTGGGCAAATTACTTGATGTACAATTATCCTGGAGAGCCGGTGTCATTCCCATTTCCAGGCTCAGCGAGCCGGCGGCTCCTCAACAGAAACCCGGTTCCACCGACTGCAGCCCGAGTGCCAGGGCTCAGATCCCACACGGCAGATGGGACAAGATTAGTCCTACGTCTCTCCCAGCCTGAGAAGCCCTTCTCCACGTGCTGCTTGGGACTTCAGCACCGGCCGCCGGCCACAGCACACACGAGGACTCCTGCTCTGAAAAGCCGGTGTGTGGCCTCCATCAGGGCCTCAGGCAAAGACAGACTCTGGGGCAGCACAAGCCTGGACGCTGCTCTGTGGGGGCTGCTGGGCCAGGCTGCTGGGGCGCCGCCCCCTTTTGTGCTCAGACGTGGCTGGCAGACCCACTTCCTGCACCTCCTGAGTGCGTGGACCCCTGCTCCACGTCGTGCACCTGCTGCGACTGGCTTTGCGCCGACCCAGCTCTCCAGTTCAAGGGGACCAAGAAGGCACTGGGATTTCCTCATTGCCGCAACCGCTTCTTTCTCATTCTAGATCTGGGCAGGGATACCACGTGGCCCCTTACAGATGACCCTGGAAGGAGGGAGCCCCCAGCCCCTCTTACGCCAGATCTAGCTCTGCTCAGGCCCCCAAGCGCCCTCCCCTCCAGGAAAGGGGCGTTCCTGTTCTGATCACTCTTATTCTCCGCGTGGGCAAGGTCACTGCGTGCGGAAAGGTTCCTGCCACGCTGTGCCTCTTTTCTCTTTACTGAAAGGGAAAAGCACAAGGTAAACAAATGAACTCCCCACTCCTGCCCCGGAAGGCTGAACCAAGTGCCCCGAATTTAGGGATTCTTGGGCATAGGTGTTCAGAAGGTGGTACTTTGTTTCCCTTTGGTGTGTCACCTGCTGTGGGTTGAACAGTCTCCCCGAAATTCATATGTGTAAGTCCTAACCCCCAGGACCTCAGAACGTGACCTCACTTGGAAGTAGGGTTGTTACAAATGTCATCAGTTAGGATGGACTCAGCCTGGAGATGGGTGGCCCCAACCCAACATGACCAGTGTCCCAAAGAAGGGGTAAATCTGGCCACAGAGGCACGTGTAGAAAAGGCCATGCAGAGCTGAAGGCAGAGACTGGGGGATGCTTCCCTAAGCCAAGGAATGCCGAAGGCTGACAGCAGACCCCAGAAGCCAGGGGAGGGCCCGGGAACAAATTCTCCCTCATCCCCGGCTTCAGAAAGAGCCAACCTTGCCATCACCTCGATCTTGGACTTGCAGCCTCTGGAACTGAGTCAATACACTTCTGTGGCTTCAGCCGCTCAGTTATCGGTAGCTGGCTCCGACAGCTCTCGGACACTAACACACACCCAGAGAGGAAGCCGCTAGGGAGGCAGGGGTGGGTTAGGCAGGGCCGGTTGTCTGTGGCCGTAACAACACAGCAGAGCACCAAGTCCCCGCCCCGTTCCTACAGCCCTGTGTGCAGCGAGCCGGAGCCCAGGGTTTGAAGCTGCAGCACTGGGCACCGAGTCGTCTTCGACCTCTGAAAAGCAGAGCTCCCTGCCCCCCATCCCTGACTTCCATCAGGCACCAAAGTGACTCCCCGTGTATTTACTGCCTGGGATACGAACCAGGGAAACCTCTGCCAGTCGGCTCTACTCCGGGGAAACCGTTTATGCTTCTGTGCTCACAACTCGCACAGGCCTGCCCCCGCCCCCAACCGCCCTGACACAGCTCCCCACTCAAACACCCTGTACTGAGAGCCCGCACTCTGGGTCCGCAGGGCAGCCTGGGGAGAGGAGAAAAGGGGCAGGAGCCTGCTCTCCCGCATTCTGGATGCTTCTGCAGCCGGTCCTTCAGGTAGGCCCTGCAAGTACCCGGGGTGGGGGGCGGTGGATCCAAACACTGCCAGCGTGGGGGGAGCTGTGAAATGCTGCTGGTTGGGGGTCTGCTCACACATAGGGAGCAGAGCCCAGAAACAGATTCTAGTTCCACAGGGTGACACACAGCAGATGCCCACAGATGCCCTCCCTGCATCTCACTCCACCCTTCCGAGGTGCCTGGCCCACCTCTGCTCCCCTGTGCCCCGGATTTGTTGGGGTGGGGGGAACCACGCTCCTCTCTCTCAGCAGGAAGCCCTCAGATCAGGGTCACTGGCAGGTCCCTGTGCTGGCTGTCACTGCAGAGGGCTGATGAGGCTGGAAAGCACCCGCCCCCTCGCCCTTCACCCCTAGGTCTCATCCTCACCCTGCAGCCTGGCGGTCCTGGTCCCCAGAGGGAGGATGGGGTACCTTTGCCAGAACTCCAAGACGTTCTCTGAACCTCCAGGGAGACCTGTGTCTCCATTCTGCTCGACAGTGGGAATCTTGAAGGAAACTAAATTCTGGAGTGAGCACAGGACCAGTAAGAGCAGCATCCATAGACCCAGTTCCCCTTCCGGGTCCCCCAGGGTTCAAGGCTTTGACGGCAGCTTCACAAACATTGTTTCAAGCCCCTGATGGAGGCCGCATACAGAGGAGACACCACGGTGTGGTGTTGTGCCACGCCCACACGGCCTGGAAAAACCAAGACCAGAAGCCTAGGCTGTGGGCACCGACGACCATGAGCCTGCCTGGCACCAGGATGCCCATCCCAGCTCCTCGGCCCGGTTCCAGGGTACAAAGACCTTCACCTCTCTTCCCCCTGCTGCCATGTACACGCACGCATGTACACACACACACACACACACACACGCTGTACACCCAAGGCAACGTGGGCCACAGAACAGTCTTTGGGAAGCCAGCCTGATGTCCTTCCAAGACTCCTGGAGAATGTGTGTATTTGAAGACCTGTAAGTAATAAGCTGACACTTTATCTTTTCATGAGATATTAGAATGGAAGGCATTTTATTAAAAGAA